AATTTCTTCATACCATCATTTACATGCTTTCCCATATTTCTGAGGGAGAGATCTGTGACATGATAGTAAGTCAGAAATAAGGGTGGGGGAAGCCAGTTAGTTAAGCTAGAGTTTTACAGACATTTGAAAACCCCTTAATTTTCAGAGCTATCTCTAAAAATGCCAAGAAAGTTCAAGATTCCTTACCAGAAGAGCTTTCTAAGTGTTTCTTTCCTATTTACTATAGATACCTTATGAAAGAGCCTATACTGAATGATGACCTTCCAAGTCGCCTACTCTATGGAGCCATCAAGGTGAAATCGAGAGTGACAGAGCTCACAGAAACATCCGCCATCTTTGAGGATGGAACAGTGGAGGAGGACATTGATGTCATTGTCTTTGCAACAGGATATACTTTCTCTTTTCCTTTCCTTGAGGGACCACTTGTTAAAGTAGAGCATAACATGGTCTCTCTGTACAAATACATGTTCCCCCCTCACCTGGAGAAGTCAACCCTAGCATGCATGGGTCTTATCCAGCCTCTAGGCTCCATTTTCCCAACTGTTGAACTTCAAGCACGTTGGGCAACAAGAGTTTTCAAAGGTGAGTGAGCAGCTCAACATCATCAATCCCTACAAAGTTACAAAATTATTGCACAGTTTCCCTCTGTGCATTTGCACAGCACTTCATGCTACTTAGAAGGCTATGATTTTCCTGCTTCCAGAGTTCAGTACTGTTCAACAGAAACTTATTGAAGACATAGCCTGTGCTGGGATTTAGTGGACAAGGAAAAATTTAAGTAAATCATTTTAACATTATGTGGGAAGTGCTCTGATAGAGGAACGCATGCGTGCTGTGAGCAGAAGGGAAAGGATATTAGCAGAGTGGGATGGGGTGAATCAAGGAAAACTTCCTGGATGACCGAGTTAATTTGGTGCAGGAAGGAAATCACCTGAACACAGGCACACACAGGCTTAACGCACGTGGAGAATCACAAGCTACCTGACATATCTGGAGCATGATATGTGAGGAGGTGGAGGCAGAGGAGGACAGATTAATCTTGGAGAAAAAGGGGGGACAGAACACAAAACTTCGAATGCCATACATTACAAACTGTTCATCAGGTCTTCCCAAATCTGGCTGCATATAAATATCATCACATAACCCTTCTTGATTAAATCTGGCACAGAATCTGCATCATAGAAAGTTTTTCAGCCAAAGACACCAATGTAGGGGTATAAGCAAGGGCAGTCATTATCAGACCTTATTATCACACATTATTTCAGCAGTCGTATAGAATATAGATTTGAAGGAGGAAAATGATGGATGCTCAGAAGCCAGTGAGAAAACACTATAATCATGGGTGCTAAAATATGATAGGATAAAGCCTGGGCCAGAGCAGAGAGATAAAATGAAAAGAGGATATAAACGTGAGGAATCATAAAAGAAAAATCAGCAGGACATAACACCTTGTTCCATGTGTGTAGAGGAATCAGGACAGCTTGCAATGTCTCTCACGGAAAGTGAGCTGGATGACAGTCCTGTCAGTAGAGGAGGGGTGTGCAGAAAAAGACGCAGGTGTGGGCAGGAAGGCTTTGATGAAGAGTTCAGTTCTTCAATCTGAGATGTTGAATGACTAGTGATATGCAGGGGACGTGGCCATTTTCCCACCCATCAGTATCTCAGAGGACCCTTGTGGGCAGGAGACAGAATCATAAGCACGTGTTGACTCCTGCACTGACCCTTCTCTAGCCCCACCTCCTGTCTTCCACTCTCATTTCTCACCACTCTGCTTCAGTGGCTTCCTGCCCGTTCTCCACGGCTATCGGCTCACTTCCCTTGAGCTCACTTACCTATATTCACATCCAGATGGGTTTTTCCAAAGGACAAGTTTAATTTTCCTTTCCTACGCAGGGAACTGTCTCACAGGGTCCTATCACTTTTAGAACAGAGCCCAAACACAGCTTCTAAGTGCCTCTGCCATGCCTACTTTGTCCAGGCTCTTCTCTTTGTTTTTTGTTTTTGTTTTTGGATTTTTTTCTGTTTTTTTTTATTTATTTTTTTTTTTTTGAGACAGAGTCTCACTATGTAGTTAAGACTGACCTGGAACTCACGATGTAGCCCAGGCTGGTCTCGAACTCACATTGATCCTCCTGCCTCGGCCACGCGAGTGCTGGGATTACAGGCGTGCGTCACCACACCAGGCTGGGCTCTTCTCTTAATCTCCTCCACCTCATAACCCAGGCAGTGCACTGTGCTCCAAGGACAGCTGAATGTCAGCAATGCAGCAGTTATGTCAGATATGACATGATTAAACATCCAGAATTTAATTTTAAGAGCCTTCTACTGGGTAAAGCAATGATCATGAGTCAGTCCCGCTATTAAACCCCACCTTTTATATTCTAGGCTTGTGCAGCTTACCTTCAGAGAAGGCAATGATGGAGGACATTATCAAAAGGAGTGAAAAAAGAATTGACCTGTAAGCATGTTTTTTTTTGACAAAAATAACTTTAGAGCAGTGCTTCTCAAAGTAGAGTGATCTATCTACCTACAAGAACACACAGCTGTTTGACAAAAAGTAAAATTCTGGGCTACAATCCAGTCTCATTGAATCAGAAGCTTTGTGGATGTTTACATTTTTATGTTCTTCCTAGATGATTCTTCTACACTGTAGTTTGATAAACAAGAATAGAAATAGTTCCAAATCAGAACATTTCTCCTTGGCTTAATTTCATTTCAGTTTTGAATGATGCCTATGTGAGATATCATATCTTCTCCCGTCACCCGTCATTCAGGGTGGGAATGGGGTGGGGCAGTGATGGTGATCTCTGGAAAGCTAGCTGAGAGACCCCATCAAAACAAATCAGGTACAAAGGTTCAAGGATTTTCTGTTTTTCCTGAAGTAGAACAAGGATCAACAGTGATCAAGCACTCCTGAAAAGTTCACTTGAACTTTTTTCACCTGGGAAGAACTTTGTGTTCAAATCCTAATTTGTTTGACATTTATAGAATACCTATTGCATACCAACCACTTTAGTAATTTAACAAGAAAATGTTAAGCATCTTTTCTCCACTAACACTGAGCTAGGCTTTTGCCAAAATGTGCTCTCCCATGTGTCTCTTCAGCAATGGGACTAGTACATGCTTGCCTGGAGACTTGCAGCTGCATAATGAATACTGAGCAATCACCACAGTGATCCGTCTTGCCATATCTCCAGGGCTTCCAGGAACTCACAGCTGTTTAGCTGATGGCTTTCTCTCAGTCTCAGAGATGGGCTTCCTGATGGGATAAACTCACACTTTCCACCACAGATTCATTCAAGACTTGCTTATTCATCTACTCATTTTTACAATTGTTAAACAGCTATCAGATCCTCCTGTTCCATATAGGTGAGAACAGTTTGTGAAACTGTCTTTTTCACATTCTTCATTTAGGTTTGGAGCAAGCCAGAGCCAGATACTGCAGACCAATTATATTGACTACCTGGATGAGCTCGCCCTGGAGATTGGTGCCAAGCCAGACTTGATCGCTCTCTTGTTAAAAGATCCTAAACTGGCTCTACAGCTCTATTTTGGGCCCTGCAACTCCTATCAGTATCGTCTTGTTGGGCCTGGGCAGTGGGGAGGAGCCAGAAGTGCCATCCTCACCCAGAAACAAAGGATACTGAAGCCTTTAAAGACTCGGTCTGTGAAGTCTTCATCCAATTTACCAACTTCTTTCCTGCTGAAAATCCTGGGGCTTGTTGTTGTTTTTATGGCCCTTTTTCCCCAATTTTATTAGTTCTAATCTGTCAGTATAACACCTCCAGTTTTATTATCTTGCCAATTAGTACAATTTAAAGAAAAAAAATGCAAAGAAAAAATATTAAAGCTATATTCTAAATTTCAGAGTTACAAAAGTAAGAGAAGTAAGCATGGGAAAATAGGAAAAGCAAGTCTACATTTAAAATCAAAATTATGTTAGGAAGTTTCTGTGCTATTCTCTTTTTTGCAAGTTCACTAAATTCCCAAAAGTACGATAGAAATACATCAACCCAGTAGATAATGTTTCAGCCTTGATATGGTTTAAATTATGTAGAAAATACAGGATTTCACAGAATGAAAAGCAGGTCCTATAGTTTAAATTCTTGGAAAACTTAAACAGTGGTAAATACGTAAACTCCTGCACAACATACTTGGGAGTTCCTGCACAGACTCTGTTTGGTAACAAAGGTCAGGCTCTCAAAAATACTGGTGATGAGGGTAAGGATGTGAAAAATTTAGAAAACACCAATGCTGGCCTCATACAGAATGAGAGCAAATAACCACATTTCTTGCTGCAAAAATAAAACAAATATGTCACAATAGCTAGCTGAAAATACATGTACATGTACATATATATAGTGTTTATCATAGACTAGATATTGTGCTTTGTGTGCATTATAAATATTACTTTAATTCTGAGATGGGTGTGGACATTGTACCCATTTTACAGAGGATGAAACGGAGACTCAAAGCAGTTGTGTAACATAACTAAGACCACATTACTGGTCTTCAGATGGAGCTCAAATTGGAGCCCAGGTTTGTTGAACTCTATAACTGAGGGTCATAACCTCAACCCACAATATGGTTATTTATAAAAAAATCTCATTATTGATAAGCTGCTTATTAATCATTTATTTCATTAATTATAATATGTATGTTCAGTTTGGAGGATCTTTACATAGAAAACTCTCCTTGCACGTGTGATCTGAATATTATTTGCAATATTTGGTTTATATTTCAGCTAAATAAAAAAGTATTTGAAGAAATTTACAGTGAAAGATAACTATGAAATAACGTTTAAGATAGTCTTGGAAACTCTGGAATAAAAGTGTATCTCTCAAGTAGATGGAAAGCATTACAACAGTGGTGGCGAACCTAAGGCATTTGTTTTGCAGCCGGCTGTTTGTTATCATTGAAAGCTGTCAAAGGTTCACCATCTCTGCTCTGTAACAAATGATCCTTATATCTAGTGCTAACAGGACAGATAGCTAAGGCAAAAGGCTAAATAACATTTTCATCTGATAAAAACATATCAATTAAGAAAGACAAACATTTTCTTGGAATCAAAGTGTGAAAAGACAAGCAATTCAATATCAATAAACATTGAACAATGCGATAGATAAACATTTGTCTATGAAACGTTCACTACAGCTGCTATTTCCATGAATCGAACTTTTGGGGATAAACAGTGCTGTGAGGCCAAACTAAGGTCCTGAAGGAAGGGCCAAGATCAAAGATGTTGAAGACTCAGGCAAATTTCTCCTTTTTATCTATTCAAAGCCTATGTAGACACTGTTCTTAATTTGGGCCAGGAATTTTCCCCACAAGGCCTAAAACAGAGATGGCAGAACTTTTACAGGCTGAGTGCCAAAACTGCAGCCCAAAACCCACTTATTTATTGCAAAGTGCCAACACTGCAATGGAATCTGAATACTGAGGTTATAGTTTAGAAAAACCAACACATACATTAACAACTTTTGTCTTAAAAGAAAAACATAATAACATATCTTTGCTGTTGTAGGCAAGCTGATGATTTTTCAAACCATGGCTGGGGCAATAGGCACACAGGCGGACAGAGAGGGCACTGTGCATTCATTGCAGCATTGCTGCGGACCTGGAACAATGTAACAATGTAACGATGTAACTAATGGCAGTCTTCCCCGGTGGAAATTTTTTTGTAAAGTTCACTAAAATAATACCAACATTTGCACTCAAAAATATTTTTTTCATCACTTATATAAGCAATTTTATTTTCAAAAAAAGCACAAGTGGTATATATACTTAATTCTTAATTTTAAAAAACTTACTTTTTGCCAGTTATCAAAAATCATAAGCCTTCACTGCAAAGGTCAGCAAACTCCTGTTGGTGGGCCAAATCCAGCTGCCACTTGTTTTCTCGACAACTTTATTAGAATGCAGCCACACTCATTATTATATGTGGCTGCTTTTGTGCAGATTTAACTACAAGGGTATAAGAGACCATGTGACCCACAAATCCTGATATATTCACCATCTGACCCTTTTCAGAAAAAGTTTGCCAATTTGTGCTTTATCATATGCAAGGTATTGTCCTGTCCTGCAGATGTTGTCTCCTTTCATCATCACCACTGCCCCCTGACATAGCGTTAGTAACTAGCCTTCTACAGCAGAAGGGACTGAACACTTGTTAGGTTGAAACTAAATCAATGGGAAAAAAACAGCTCCAAAATTATAGTTAAATTTACAGCCTTGAACATTTTATAGATCTCTTGAAATTATTCCCAAAATTCTCTTTAAAGACAAATGATTTCAAAAGAAAACTGCTTCTGAGAACTCATCCACTTTATCTTTCCACTTCTATGTATCCTGAACCTGAAAAAGCCAGACAAACTGTCTAGGGCAGGTCGGAATTTAAATGTGACAATAACCCAACAAATAAATAATAAATAAATAGTCAGAGATCCTTGCTGAAGTCTGCAGTTTCATAAGCTCTTTAAATGATTCCTGTGCATATTAAATTTAGAAACCATAAATCTGAGGTCTCAAAAAAAGAAGAGAAAAGAGAAAAAGCTGCTTTCAGAGATTAGTCTGCAACATTTTTCATTCCTTGAGGTCAAATTCCTCCTCATGTTTGGTTCTGATGCTTGTGCTACGGTTAATGTTTGCTCTTCCATAAAAGATGTTAGCTGGAGACAATCTCCTTCAAAATCTTTCTTGGTGACCACCCCCCTTTTTTTTTGCAGGCCTTTCATTTCAACTCTGCTTTACGATAGTTCCTTTCTTTTCTCTATCAATAGCCAAAAGTGCCAAATTTGCTATTGACTGATAGACACTTTTAAAAGGAAATACTAAAACTATTATACATAATTAAATTTCAAGCAATTATTTAAAATAATAAAGATTTTTAAAAGCCAAATCAAGAGGAAGACTCATCCTTTAAGTCATCTTTCATCCTGGAAGATGCTACTGACCTGTAATCTTTGGTTGTCACCCCAGAGGCAGACACTGCTGAGCCTGGGCAGAACACCTTTTCTTCTGCATTCTGCCCTGGGATTACTGGAAGCAGCAGTGAAGCTAAGAAAAAGGTTTCTGTGATCCGATTCTACTTAGCCAAGGTCAGATGCCAAAATGAGATTAAGGGGTTTATTTAGGAAAATGCCTGAGTGCGGAAAAACAGGGTGAGGGTAAGAAAAGGCTAGAAGAATGATCAGACCACAGCACAAATCTGATTCCCAGTTAAGGAGAGAAGGAGGAAAGGCTGATAGAAGCACCTGAGACAGCTGTGCAATGTAAAGAAGACTCCAGAGAGGCATTGAGGACTTGTCCAGCGATCAGAGAAGTTGAGAGCTGGTGCTGCCTCTGCTACCTGTTCAAATAAACCACTGTAAGCATGGGCTATGCTACCCATGAGGAAGATGAGGGTACAGTAAAATGTGTACTTTAATACTTTACTTCAATGTCCACCTATATGTGCTACATATTTTGGGAGAGGGATTTTAATTATAACTAATCAAACAATTTATATTGTTAGATATCTCTCTACTTTGAGCTCATGGCCAAGAGAAAGCGGTTGGTTGTGGAGGAGGAACGTTTTCTTTTGATGTTGAGCTACTTCAAATTGTAGCAACCTAAGTAATCTGGGTAAAACACTAAAAGCCAATACATGTTACAAAATGATCCAAGCTTAATTAACCGTATTTATCTCTGACAACTTAGGCATCAAGGAACAGACAGAGACTAATGATTTTCCCAAGTTATGTGACTTGGAAGTGGCTCCACTGGGATTTTGGGCCAGCATCATCTGGGTCTCAAGCCTGAGCTAAATAAGGGGTACACAGGGTGATAAAACAATTCAAGTAATCATGCATTATCTCGGCATTTTCCAATGTCTACCTTATATACAGGATGGAATATCATGTTAATATGTTGTTCCCTTTCTATGCACCTAAAACAGAAATGATCGCTAGGAGTTTTAAAAGTTGATAAAGTATAGTTGTGAAAGAAAATTTAAAATGATTTTAATACATTTGTATCTGATAACATAAAATTGTATTAATATTAACAAGCATTATGTTAATTTAGGTATTAAGATATTTAAGGTATCTGAATAACAATTGGAAGTGCATTTGTTTCTCAAATGTACTGGGGGGGGTAAAAAGGAGAGACCATGAGGAACATGGGTTTGGGTACAATTGAATTCTTCAGTGGCAAAGAGAGAAAAGTCCAAGTTATTTAAAGGGGGAAGGAAAGAAAACTAAAGCCAAAAGGACAAACAGAGCCTTTGGGGTGACAGAATCCTCTGCGGGGTGCAAAGAGATCTCTCTCTCTCTGCAGCCTTTTGAATACTCAGGAAAGCTGTTAGACACAGGGAATGTTTAGCTGAGATGGGCTCTTTCCTATACATTAGAGAAGCAGCTAAGCTCTGGACTGGGAGGGGTCAGACCAGTGACAGCCAAGACCATGGAGAAGTACATAGAAGCCATGTGGAGAGCCATCAAATTAAGAGTTTGCACAAAGGGACAGGGAGACCCCAGCTGCTACCCAAATGATATATATTTCAAACAAATTCTCAACTTACCTAAGCTCACGAAGGCTCCTTCAAAGGACCTAACACTCAAGTGACTAACTTGGATTCCTGACTTCTACCTGACTCATAACATCACAGAAAAGCCCTAGATAAACCTCACAAGGAAGAGCATACGGGCCGATATTAACTTATCCATTTGACATTTAGTAAGAACTGCTAAATATCAGGCACTCTGGTATATCTGAGGATATCAAGAGAGAAAGGATGAAAGAGAAGAAAAGAAATAAAGGAAGGAAGAAGAAAGGAAAGAAAGAAAGAAGGAAGGAAGGAAGGGGAGAGAGGGGAGAGAGAGAGAGAGAGAGAGAGAGAGAGAGAGAGAGAGAGAGAGAGAGAGAAAGAGAGAGAGAGAGAGAAGCAGAAAATCCTGGGCAAACTATTGAGGTTTCATTGAGTCTTACAGCATTTACTAAGAAATTTTGCAAATATTATCTCATAAAAGCCTTGTATGTCAGGTGAAGTAAAGATGATTATCCCACTCTACAGATAAGAGTATTAAGGGGTTGTGATTCCTTTTCTGTTTCACCCCACTATGCCATACTATTCTAAACTATCACGACATTTCCAGCTAACTGAAAACTCCTTAGGCAGCCATGGAATACAACCCTCACTGATAACAGCAGCTTTCCCACAAGCTTCTCCTCAAGCTCTAAAGACATCTGAAGAAACTCTAAAGAAGGTGGCTGCTATTTCCTCCAGTCCTTGCATGGTAAAGGTATGGATCACTGACATATCAATGCCAGCAGAGACAAGACACACATTTCAACACAGCGCCTGGCCTTGAGTAGGCCTGGTGCCCCCTTCAGCTCCTCTCCATGCTTCCGTCCTGCCAGAGTGTCCAAAACAAAGAGCAAAAGCAAACAAACAAAACTTTCAGCATGCCTTCTGTAGGCTGGGAGCCTCTTGATGCTTTATGTGAAAGAATTAAGAAGTAGGGAGTTGTATATGTTTTACTTTGTCTTTTGCAGGGAGAAAGAAAAGCAAGTTGTACTCAATCGGTTTAATTTACCATGAGGACGAAAGGTAAGTAAATTCTATGTTCTCCTTCAGCTCTAAAATTCTATGGCTCTAAGGATGAATCACATCAGGGCCAAAAGGAAGGAAGGAAGGAGGAAGGAAGGAAGGCAGATACAAGAAGTTGATTTAGAAACACAGTGAAGGAGCCAGGAAACAGCCTGTCAGTGCTTTACTCAAAAGAGCTGAGGTTTTAAGCATGAGTATGTAATCTCCAAATCCCAACACCTTGAAATAACACAGATTATTTCTCTTTGATATATGTGTCCACTGCATGCAGGCTCTGCTCTCCATGGTAACGCAGGTGTTCAGGCTACTAGACAGTTGTTGAGCACCACGATGAAGGAAAAGAAAGTCTTATGGAATCCACACTGGTAATTTAATGGCCGGCCCAGCAGGACACACACCACTGTACTTTGTTGGCAGTGGTTTGAGGGGGACATGAAGTTCAATCCTACCATATTCCCAGGAGACCCAAAGTCCATAACAGTTCCTAAAAATTATACTAATCTAGTGTATTAATAGTAATAATAGGGGGATATTGAATGGGGGATACAGAGTTTTCCTCGGCCTATGGCCTAATGTACAAATGATGAGAAACCCTACAAATAGCAGAAAGTGAAGGTTTCTCTGAAGGGTAGTTGTCG